GAGAGAGAGAGAGAAAGTACATTGTACCGCATTTATTGTGCCATATTTCTATGTTTCTAGATATTTTCTTATCTTTTTTTGTTATTATTATTACTATTTAATTATATTACGTTAACAAGAAGAGTTCAAATTATATTTGAGTTTTTTTTTATGAAAAAAAACTTTGTTTCAAATGACTATGTTTATTTTCACAAAGAGCGATTTACATAAAAAAAAAAGTTAAAACGTTTGACTTCTTTATTCTTTCAAATTTAATTATTTTTACAATTTACAATTACGATTTACACTATTCGAAACAAAGTTTAGCTTTACGGAATGCATGTTGCAAATAAATTTTTCGTCCTTTTTGTGAAAGTATGATTAGAGTAAATGTGTTTGTAGTATATCATTACTTTTTTTTGTTTTATTTTACACAGATTACATTTTTTATATAGTAATAATTAACAGTTCTGTCAGTTTATCCGATAGTTCTCCTTAAAAAATCAATTATACTTAAAAAGTTCATCTACAACTTCAATTTTTTAATAATATTAGGTATAGTAAAAAAAATCCATTATTTTTCCATTCAATTTCATGCAAAAATAATGGATTTGTTTTTACTACACCTAATATATTACTAAAAAATAAACCGTAAAGTCAAAGATAGAAGGCAGTTCTAATAAATTCTTTTAATTTTTCATATTAATATCACTTTATCTATGAATTTATTATACTATATTCTATGGCATTTATTTTGTAAGGAATGGAGTATGACAAAATTTCAACATGTAAACTTGACACAAAGATTGAATTTGGATTATATAATGACTTTGTAAAGACTTTGTAAAGACTTTGTAATGAGATTCTCTTGTAATTTCTACTACATTGTGACACAACAATCTGTTGTAAATTACAATTTATTACTGAAACTCTACAGTTGCATGGCATTGTATGACGCGATTCAAGAAATGAGAAGTTACGAGCAACAGAAAATTATTATGTGTTGCACGTATACCAGGTTGAAATCCGCGTCAATAAATTTAATTGACAAGATGTAAGAAGTTAAAGGAAGATTTGTCACCCAATTTTTTCTTATCTGATCAAAATATTATACCAATCAAAATATTATGAAAATATAACCACTATTTTGATATGACGCAAACACTGTGCGGGATTCTTTAAAACTACGGAATTTATCCGCGTAATCCCCGTCATCGATCGGAATGCCGTTGCAATGTTTTCGCCATTATTACGATAGCGATCTAGAAGTCTGTTCTTTACTTTTTTTACTAAACAATCATACGTATTTGTTGATATTTCAAATAATTTAAATTACAAGATATATCAAAATCTGCTTTTTTTCAAAATATAATTTAAGAAATATATCAAAATCAGTTCAGAGCGTTTTCCCTATAGAAAACACAATAAAAATTTAGAGAATAATTGAACAATTTCAATCGGAATCCATTCCATATAATTTCATAATACAAGCTCTATTTTTTATTTTAGCAAAATCTATCGTTGTTTGTAAAGTTTAGAATTGTATGTATCGACAAATAATTGCTTAAGGCAATCAAACCAAATAGACCAATACATAGTATATATTGGTCATGTTGGTTTTTTGCTTGATCAACGAATTATTCAAGGCGAGAATGTCATTTTCGTAATAAAAGAGATTTTTTTTTTTGTAAAACGATTAGTATCCACTAGATCATATTACTGAGATTCATATCTTGCTCCGGTAACGCTGTAAGATCTTCCGCTATAAAAGCGAATTATGCGACGTCGTAAAGCTGCAGGCCTTGGTTTGCAATCTGACCCCCGGCAAGAAATTTAGCAAGTTCCAAGCTAACTTCTCTTCTAGCAGATGTTCAGCTTTATAAACAATTCCTAAAACTCGAGATCGATAACGGTGGTGGCAATAGCAATGCTGCGGTTGCGAGACCGAGATGAAAAATAAATGAAACTCGAGTTTTAAAATTCGTTCGCTCGCGGATTGCATATGCTCCCTCTTTAACATTGGAAATATGTATAATGTACAGCATATTTACTCATTGATATTAGCTTTTATTATTATTTAGTCAAATAATAATAAAATGATATCCATTTATACTATTATTATTTGATGAAACAGCAAAGCTAATATCGTAATGTTGATTTATTTATTTTACTTGTTTATTAATTTTCAATAGGGAATAAAAATTGATAAATACTAACGTAACATAATTAGTAATTATTGTAAATTTAGCATTATGTATAAATTAATTATTAAATTAATGTATTAATAAAATATTAAATTAATTATTAAATTAATTATTAAATTTTGTTCATATGAAAAATCAAATATCAAGTAAATCTATTAGCGAACGAAATATTAATGGAAATAAAAATAATATACATTTTTTATTTTCAATGAAAATCAATGGTTTATCTTAATATGTAAAAATTAAAGTTATGCACAGAAAAATAGTTAATGAAACATATATGAGAGATGTCACCGTGTTCGTGGTGAAGAGAAATTTTTTATTTTAATAGAATTATTTGAATCTAAAAATGCTAGGTAAGAATTATGGTTTATTTTATCATTATTGGTTTATTTTGTCATTATTTTTACTCATTCTTTCGATTTTCCGCAAGCTGCGAAAAGTGTAATTGGATATTTTACAATTATATTATATCTAATGTAGCTATAAACTAATAAATTTGTGGGAGAAAATAAATTACAATATTGTTTGTCCCTTTTTATTAATACGAATATATAAATGTGTTAATTCGTAGCAAAAAATATCCTTGATAAATACAATTTATCAAGATGCAAAAGTTATTGTAGATTCTATAGATATATATATATATATATATACAATGAAAGTACAAAGATACTTTTTTCTTTCCACAATACGAACAAATTTTTACTTAATCTTTTACTAAATGCGCTGGTAAAGCACTGATTTCTTGAGAACTCAAGAATTATCGAACACAAACTTAATATTGTGTTTTATTATCATTCGAAAAACAATTTTCCGCGCTACTGCAGTGTGAAGCGAAAATTCATACTTTTTCTCTGCCAAAAGAAAGAATGTAAGCGACATCCGATTATGAACACAAAGCCGCGCAATATATTGCACTGTCTTCTTCTAGCTTTATTCTTGTAGTTATATTAGTTTTAGCTTAAAAATTACTCCTTTTGCAATTTGAAAAATCAGTAGAATGACTGAATATGATAACATGTAAAATAAACTATGTTTCTCATCTAACGTTTTTAGATTTATATCATTTTATTAAAAAAAATTATTCTTCATTATTTTTTATTTTTCTTTATTATTCAATTATCTTTCTGAGCATAATTAAATTTTAAATCGATATAAATCGTCGATTTTTATGAAAATAAAGAAGATTTATGTTACAACGCTATGAAGACTTTTTCTTCAATTTTCATTTTTATGAAATTTTGTTAGATAATGTTAGATGCTTTTACTTTACAAGTTCGATTTTTCACGTAAATGAAATTTTTGTAGAACAGAATTGATATTGTAATTTATAAAAAAATAGAAGGTAGTTGTCAGTGAGAAACAAATTGCGCACTTTTTTGCAAATCGAAATGTTCGAAAGAAACCTTTTATCTTCATTCTATCATGATTTGATTGAATGACATTCAATACTTGTCGAAAAAGTACAACTATCGCATATCACAATTTAGAATTTTTGTATTTACAATTTAGAATTTAGTATTTTTTAATTAAAATTATCTATTATTTTACAGAATTGTATTTTTTAATTATAAATCCTATTATATTGAACACAAAATATTTTGTTTTTAAAATATATCTTTTTTCGTTTCTTTTCGTTTTCATTTCTAATGTATAAAACACATATACATATTTTTCAAAATAATTTGCAAAAAATGAAAACATTAAACGTTATATAAATATTTTAAATATTTTATATACAATTTTTATTAGAAATTCGAGGTATTCAAAATAGTAATTAAAAAAAAATGTTTTATTAAATATATTTTACTTTGAATGAGATTTATGAGATTGGTTGATCATTTGTAATTTCATGGAAAAACTACGTTTTATGCATCAAACATAATTTTTTGCGAGAATCTCATTTGTATTTAAAATGAATCGCTTAACTTTCAACTTTTTAGAGAAATTAAAATTGTAAAAATGTTTTTGAAATATACTTATCAATAAAATTCTAATTTTTAAAAAGACTTGTGAGAAATTATAAATTAAAATAAAAATATAATTATATTAAAAGTTGTAAAA